GTCGTACTTCTCGCTGTGCTTCATGCAGTCCACTCTATCGCCAAATTCATTTCCCTCTCGTACTTTGCATTCTCCAAATAGTCTTTCAGATATTTAAGGGAATGTTTTGAAGTCTGAGCTAGTTGTGACTTTGGCCCTCTCTCTCCTTCCAAGGCGTCTTGTGTGACTTGGCCCTCGGATCCGAGCTTGAAACAGAAACCCCCCATGAGGATGCCGGCTCTTTTTTTTTGGGGGGGGGGGGGGGGGTGGGTTGGAATCTGCTGATCTGTCGCTGTTCTATTTTTTTTGCCTGTTGATCCTTCTCAGGTCTCCGTTCTGGGCGTTACTTGTCTCTTGTTCAGCCTTGAAACCTGGGAAATTTTGTTCTTCAATGATCTTCTGGGCTCTCGGAAGAAGGAGGTTGTCTTTTTCTGACTTGGTTTTGCGAGGGCGGTTGCCAACGGTTGTCTGACTCGGATGGATTGCATGTCCCATAGTAGCTCTTCTACCTTCGTTTCTTCTTTGAGTATCCTTGAGACAATCAAGGGATCAAGGAAGGATTTGTTTGATTGACCAAGTTCTCTCTTGGCGCCATCTTGTTGACATTTGCTATTTGTGGGGCATAAAGGTACACATCCGGTTTCTTTGCCGATGGCTCCTAGTCAGTGTAAGTCCAAATCCGTCTCGGGTCAGGCAGGTTGTTTTCGAACTCCCAGCCATAGAAATATGGGTCATTGACGAACCAGACCCCTCCCGCTTTCTCCACTTCCATTACATGTTGTCTCAGTTTCTTTTTCTTGAAATGGTCTATAGACTAGTATAGAGATCAGAGACGCTACAGATCTGTGCCCAGCTGGCCCTTCTCCTTACACTTGCAGCAGAGGGGAGATGTCTTGGTTGAGATTATGACAGTAGTCGACTGATCGTTGACGATCCGTTCCCAAAAGTCCATGAAGATCGGTGTCTGGACCTCAAGGATAGCAACGGTCTTGAAGTATCATCATAGAACTGACCGGCCCCAGGTAAATTGAGATTGGTTGTATCAGGTTTCGAACTTGGGTCTGTAATTTGACAAAATTCATCGGTGTACCAACTGAGCTAGGCCTGTAGGAACCATCATTGAATTCCTTTCCAGACTGCGAACTCGAAAATGTTTGAATCGAGAATTTGTCTAGGTTTTTGTCTTGATGTTCTGGTGATCCTGTATGGTTTTAGCCCCACCCTTAACCACTTCTCTTCAACTCCGTCTTTATTTCTGAGTTTTTTTCATGGATTTTTCTCCTGTCGCTTGACTGGACTCCAGCAGAAATGAAGAGTTCCAGTCCCACCGCTAGGAGAGGTGATAAGAGCACCCCCCCCCCCCTACCGGTAGCGGGTTTCCTGGATGCTCCAGTCTATTGGTGGGGAGCTGCGAGTCTGAACATATGTGTCAAATGCAATCCTGCCAGCATTGATTGTCCTGGTTACCAGGGGATTGACTGAGCAGGTGTTAAGTTTGTGAAAGGGGCTTTGGGAGAAAGGAGGCCTCCTCTTCACCCCGTTGCAGGGCGCCTGACCGCACTGACCACCGAGCCTCCTTCCTCCCCTTAGGGGCAGCGTTTGGAAATCTGCAAAATCTGGAGATTCTGAAAAGGCCACCTCGGGGGGGGGCGCACCGGGGGAGCTTATCCCAATGTCTTGGTGTCTGATCACGTAATAACTTCCACCAGGGCGAGGGGATGGGGAGGGAATGGATCCGGGAAATCAGATGGGGACCTCATCGGGAAAGACGGGTCAATGTTAGTGCAGTCATTGAATGCAAGCCTGTAGTCTCTCGGGAGTCCCTGTCCGAAGAGTCTTGTGATCTACTACCGAGTTATTCTTCTGTCGAATTGTTCCGTTGCGATTGTGCGTCCTGTCTGCTGTGACCGTGCTGTAGCAGCGTCGAGGTGGGAGGGCCATGGTTGTGGTGGGTGAAGTCGGCTTGGTGTGATTGGGAGCGGTGTGCAGATCGAGGAGGGGTAGAGGGGGCGATTGACTCTATGAGGGAGTGAGATGGGTAGGGAGGAGGAGATTAGCCAGTCGTGACCAGCTGTCTGTCAAGTCAGATCATGCAGAGCGGTCGTCTGCTTGATCGGAAAGCGAGGGGGGATGTTACCGCTATTAGGGTGCGACTGGAGAAGGTAGCTGGGAACTTCGTCTTTTTTTGAATGGAGAGTAGCGATGGGGGTGAGTGGCCGGCGATGGTGAGGTTGATTTGCATGTGGCGGGGAAGATGTGCGACGGGCGAGATTAGGAGTTTGAAGCTATGTGGGGCACAGTGATAGGTGTTCGACAAGCTAGGGCATGGTGACAACTAAGTTACCTAGATAGGGACCTTTGAGATCTCCTCCGGCATTTCCCTTGGGGCCTGGTGGAAATTGCAGCAAAAGAAATCGGAAAGGAAATCTGGCCTAGGGGAGCTACTGCAGACTACCTCCCCTTTTTTGCACCAGCACTTCCTGGTTAGCGCCACCTGCTGTGCTAGGTAGCGCCCACGGGCCCAGGCCCCCACCCGTGCTCTCACCACCACTTCCCACTAAGAGCATTCGGCTTGAATGCATCGAAGCTTGGCGACCACCGGCTGTGTCGCTGCTGTCACCAGGGAGCTCCCGCCGTTGCCTTTTTTGGCAAGGGCAGCGTCAACCATGCCCGAGCACCCAGAGCGCGCGCCTAACTCTACCCAAGGAGATCCTCGACACCATAGTTCAGGTCCCTTTCACAGAGATAAGAGGGTAAGAGGGAGATTGCACGGAAAGAGAGAACGTACCATGCCATGCTTTTCTAATTTGCTTCCCAACCCTCCCTGCGGTTACTCCGCCCGCCACGGATATCCCTCTCCCCCCCCCCCACCCACCCAACCTCACCCCCCTTCTTCCTTCCCTCTTGTCCCCCTTTCCACGCTCTATGCGGGGCCGTGTTGCTGTTTGTGGAGACAATGGTGTCAATCGCTCCATTGAAGAAAGCATGGCTGTGCCGGCAACCGGCCGGTTGGACCGGGCCGGATCCAACGGGGCCGTCCAACCAGAATTCCGGTTGGGCCCAAAAGTGGGTTAAAAAAAAAAAAAAAAAAAATTGAAAACATGGTTGGACTGAGTTCACCGAGATCTCCCCAAATCCACAAAGAAAAGTTTGAACAGAGAAGTTTCGTTTGGGGGGTTGGGGGGCTGGGGGGTTGTGGGAGGGTGTATTTCAGGCGTTGAGGGTCGGGGGTTGGGGGGTTTATGGTGAGGGTGTTAGTGGTGGGGTTTCAGCAAGCACGGGCTTCAGCAGACATTGACAACAACGTACCTGGCTTTCTGCAAACGTTAACCTTCCTTCCAAAACTTTGAAAAGGGGGCTGGGGGTGTTAGTGGCAGGGTAGGGACGGTACTTCCCACCCACAAACTTTGAAAAGGGGGATGGGGTTCTAGTGCTAGGGGGTGCTTGTCACTGCTGTCTGGTCCAAGTTGCCCTCGATACTGGTAGGGTTATGGTCCTGAGTGCTGGTCACACTGGGGTGTTAGTGGCATTGTAGGGACGGTACTTCCCACCCAAAAACTTTGAAAAGGGGGGTGGGGGTTATAGTGTTAGGGGGGTGCTTATCACTGCTGTCTGGTCCAAGTTGCCCTTGATACTGGTAGGGTGATGGTCCTGAGTGCTGGTCACACTGAGGTAGGATAGTAGGGATAGGGGGTGGGCTGGGAGCATTAACGTGGGGAAGGGTGGGGAAGGTGGTCTATCCTGTCAGGACCAACCACTGGCTGCCGCTGCTAGCGATCACTGTGGGTCTAGTCCTTGGCCTCAACAACACATTGGGTTAAAAAAAAAAAAAAAAAAAAGAAAGAAAGAAAGAAAGATGCGCTACAGCCAACAGGGGGGGAACCGGCCCAGTCGACCGGCCGGTAGGACCGGTCCGGTTCCAGTTGAGGGAGGACCCCCCGGTCCTACTGGGTTTTCAGCACTGGAAGAAAGCCATTTTTTCTGTGAGTGTTGACGTATTCCCTTAGGGTTCAAAGTTGAAACATGTAACTAACTTGAAGGTGACGCGGTAGTGTCAGTCCTCATAAAGAAGGCAATCTGCGCACACGATATATCCTTCGTGGTCCGAACCTGCAACCGAAAGATAAAAACTTGCAGGGGTTTGGACTGCCTAAGTATGGAGGCATGAGAGCATATCCCCCTTGCATGGGGGGTATGGTCTTTATCTGATGATGGATGTATGCACACTATCATTCTGGTTCCACAACCTCACAACGAGTGCGCGTTGTGTTTGGGGCAAAGAGGGGTGGTGCTTGCTGACAGTCTAGGTGGGTACTTACATCGGTGCTCTGCTCTGGGTCTCCAACCCCCTTATCAAGGAGCGCCTAATGCAAAGGGCGTAATCCCCAGTCCTCCTCCTGGTCTAGAGGCTCTTGAGGCATGCGCACACTACCGCCTTCCTCCGAATGGAATGTACGATCGTTATCCCTGTATTTGGGACAACTTGCAGTCTAGATACAGCCTTAATAACCATGCATTCTATTGGCGGGAAGACGGTTGCGACAGGAATTCATGAGTATCAGCATCCTGTCTCAGTCCCGGTTTCAAGTCCCATGTAGCATAAGTCCCAGTTCGGGACGTAGGTAAGTCTAGACTTGGCCAACAGAGTCCGTACAGGCCATTCCCATCCACTTCAGCACGGTCCGGTGCGGTTGGGTGCAGTACTGCGCCTCATTAGGCTCGGCAGGTCAGCTCCGGATGGAGGGGCGTTCTAAAAGGCTTCGGACGAATCGATGTAAAAGTAAAAGTGTAGTGAAGAATGTATTTGACTCTTCTGAATGGCCGGGTTCCGTTCCTTTCACTCCACTGGTTCAAGCTGGTACTCTCCTTACCCTCCTCCTTTCCAGATTGCCGACGACAACCTGGTATGGCACCCCGTCTCTTGCAAAATTTTTGAAAGGGGTTAAAAAAAAATTGTTGTTGCCAAGGACTGACGTGTTTTTCCTGTTCACCATATGTGTTTCCCTGGGATGTGCTGCCAGGTTGAAGTGATGGACAAGTGGAGGTCCCAGTGGACAGGGCAGCTGACCGGGTTGAAGCAGAGGGCTGCATGGAAGAGATCTCAAAGGGCATGGCAGGCACAGTACGAGCAGGAACAGGCTGAGAGAAAGGAAGCGGAAAGAAAAGACGAAGATGATGAAGGCACAGGCCAGTATGATTACGTGGGAGAGTGAAAAAGTGTGTGTGTGTGTGTGTGTGTGTGTGTGTGTGTGTGTGTGTGTGTGTGTGTGTGTGTGTG